TTTTTAAAACGAAAATATTCAAATTGATAACGGCGATATAGCGCTTTGACAGATGACGTTTAAGTTCATTTGCTATACGCTACGCCCTACGTCCAAATTTTCAGAACCAACTTGACCACGTTTTTATTTGAACGCTCATTATAAATAGATGGCCCTTCTAAAGCCGAATTCAGAGATATAACGACTTTTTTGTCATAGTTGTCAAAAAATGTAGGAATTAAATGAAAACAATAATTTAGTACTACTTCTTATTTTAATATAGCAAATGCTCAACCATTAACCATTGCACAATGCCCAATTCGGTGTTGAAAGTTATCAATTACATTTTGAATAACATTTAGTGTTATGGTTCGAACTTCTCTGATACGATTCTTCAATCCTTCGATAGTGTCTGGTGTGTTCACATACACTTTGCTTTTTAGATAACCCCACAAAAAAAATAGTAGAGTAGATTCAAGCGGTCCTCTTCTGTCTATCCATCGATTTGGGAAAACCTGATTAAGGTCATTTTTTACATCGAGGCGAAAATGTGGAGGAGCACCATCGTTGGAACCAGACATTACCAGCAGGCATATCGTGCTCATTAGGATTAGGAAAAATTAATTCCAGGGCTGGAATCAGCTGGAAATTTAAAAAATCCAAATAAATGTCGCCTGTCAAATTGCCCTCAAGAAATAAGGTCCTAGTATGCAATTTCCTACTATTCCAACTTAAGCAGTCACTTTCTCCGGCCGTTGTGTATGTTTTTCTTGCATCCACTGCGGATTTTCTGGGTTCTAAAACCTAGTATTTTGCCTGTACACGGTTCCGTTTAAGCAAAAAGTTGCTTCGTCAGTGAAAATTATGTGATATTTTAAGTTGGGTTGTCTTTCAAATAATTTCTAATTACCTCGCAAAACTGTAATCTTCTGTTTGTGTCATCTGCCCATAGTTCTTCAAAGACGTCAACTTTGTAAGGATGTCACTTTTGAGATTTCTGAGTTCAACTGAGGACTTCGACAAGTTGAAGTTGGGTGAAATAGTTCCATTGGATGAGTAAGGAATTTCAGTAACCGTGAGCATCACATTTTGACGGTCATTTTCGCTTACCGTTCTCCGCCTTCCTGATCCAGGTAAATATTTTATACTTCCGGTTTCTTTAAACTTTTTGGATACTTTGCTTATTGTAGCTCAACTAATTCGCTGGTCTGGACAATTATGGTGAAATATGGCACATACCTCCTGTTGACTACGGATTTTATGCCATCATTCAATCAATCATAATTAAAATTTCAATTCTCTGTTTTTCGCTTAAACGGGCAACCATTTTTCAAAATAATTTAACAACGAATGAATTGGAACTAAAACGATTTACGTTATACCTAAAGTGAATTTTATGTCTTTATCGATTGATTTTATTGAGAAAAAAAAGCTTTAAAGTAAGTAGAAAAAGATTAATAAAGAACAGGTACGTTTTTTAAAGTACAGAAGAGACTATGACTGTTTGAAATAGTCGTCATACGACATAATAGACAGTTTTTTTTATATTTTTTTGACAACTATGACAAAAAAGTAGGTATAACCATACATCATTGAATTCGTCTTTAGAAGAGCTATCTATTTATACTATATAGAGTGTCCTATTAAAAAAAATAATGTCGGTAATCAAACATGGCTAAAAAAATAGAAAATATTGCAAAAAAGTGACAATTTCTATTTACTAATTGACCTGTTTCAGTGATTTTTTTTAAAATCTGAACTGGAAAAAATATGAATTTTGTTCCATCATTTTGGAACACATTGTATATTATTATATTATATTAATTAATTATTTATTTTTGTTATGTTTTGTTATGTTTTGAATGTTTATACTTATGAAACTCTTTAATTTTTTTGGGTGTGGGTTCAGATGTTATATTGACTATATATATATTTTTTATATAATAGATGTTTTGTTATTATGTTGTTGTTTTGTTGAGCGCCTTTATATTTGAATGTTGAATTATATTGAAGTATTATATTTCCTAAAATATCTTAAATAAATAAAAGATGTAACTATTGTCTTAACAATTTTCTATCTCTTCATATGATTTGCAGATTCTGGTTTGACATATAACAGTGACTGTTGTAATTTCTTATCCTAAGTCATACAATGATAAATTCCCCCTTATATTAATTTTGTTCTACGACAATGCATGCGTATACTTTTATTGGATATTTTTCAAATGAAAATTTTTATCTTTGAAATTTATATAGCGCTTTTGTTTGTAAAAGTTGCAAATTTGCTTTGTATGTGTCGACACTTACATAACAATTATCTCCTTCGACTTGTAGTAACTGCGCTGCATTCCATAGAAGGTTGTCGCGACGTCCCTCGTTGAATTATGTCTCGTCGCGGGAACTGCCGAAGTCTCCCTCGTACCGACACAGAAACTTTTCCCAGCGGAACACACTGCACTTATTTTTCAATTTCACTTGTCGCACAATTTTGATTAAAAGTTTTCCAAATATATCCAAGATCAGTTTGATGTGGTTGTTTCGGTTATTTGTTGTGACTGCTTTAAATAATTTCGGACAATTGTAGTTTTGATAAATGTACCATTTTGTTTTGACAGTCCGATCCACTTTGACGTTTCTTCCCCCAGGTGGCTACGTGAGTACATCAACAATTACTAACTTTGTTGAAATAAACAATTTTCACTTGTTTTTTTAGGAGCAAAACTTTCGATGTGGTAACTTTAGGTGAAAATGTCAGATTGGCTTCCTAAATCCCGGATAATGGTTATATAGGAAGTGTAAAACAATTGCCTGTTTCTATGACAACAAATAAATTGTAATTTTGTAATTTTATTTTTACATATACCAACTTTTAACTGAATTTGGGATACATGAACTGTTAATTTTTAGATTCTATGCATTTTCCTGCGTCTTTTGACACTACATACACCTTTCTAGGTTAAGTTGAATGTCATGTTGAAATGTTGCATGTTTTACCAAAATTCACTATTATTTCAGTGCATGGACTAAACTTCAGCATGTCTGTCTTTTCTATGTCTTTAGTACTGTCTATACAACACCTTTTACACAGTCCTTATGCATTTTTTTAGGTACAAACGAGCAAAAGTTTTTAACACCCCGTTCCGACAAACATCTGTGCAGTCTAAACAACAAATTGACCTTTGATTGGATTTTATACACATTAAATGGAATGACGAGGATCTCTTACATACTATACGTATGATTTTGTAGTACAGAAACATTTTTACACAAAGAATTTTCAAGATTCTGACGGAACAATAACTGTCAATGATAATATGTTACATAAATGATTTCAACGACGTATATGTTTGATTCCACATATAAATTCTACATTCAGGTACACTAAATTTCATTTATCTTCTAGTTTTATTGCATGATTCGAACATATATCTGAAATACCTTTTTCTGCCGTCACCGTTCTGTCAAAATTTTACAATTACGATTAAATGTCCTCATGCCAGAACTTATATTTGATTATTAACATTGTAGGATGGTTCTTTAATGTTCTGTGCGACTTAATTGTATAACATGAGTACATTTACATAATTTATCGAATGTGCAAATTTTACTTATGTTATAATTTTGACAGCTGTGACGTTTTGTCATGAAATTTCAATCAATTACCAATTTTGTTATTTATTTTACCGAAATACATCTCTTATTTAGGTTTTTTATTGTAGTATCTATACTTCTATTTACTATTTTTCAGTATATCTCATCTCAAGTTGTATTTATGCGATATTTTTCTTAGTATCGGTACCCATAAATTAACATTCAAATTTCTAAATTATCCAAAACATAACAATATGTATGGTTTCATGTGAGGAGATGTTTTCTTTTTAGTTACTATTTGTATTATATTACTATTGTTTTTTAATTAAATTGAATTGCAAAAATATATGATGATTATTAATATTTGAAAAATTTCTATTTTTGTTAGTACACAATATTTTTTCAAAATGGGCCTCATAATTAGGCTGCTTTACCTTGCTTATATGGTGATCAGTTAATTAGTAAAAATTATTACGTTATCAAGTAGCAATGAGAATAGTAGGTAATTGATTTTTTTAAATGTTAAAGATCGTGATATTATTAATGTTGTACATAAAAGCGACAGCCGAAAAGTATTGGGAAAAAATATATAAAAAAAATAAAATTTGTATTTAATATATTCATTATAATTCATTATAATCTTATATTAGTAAATAGTCCAGTCGGCACAGGCCGAAAAGTTACTGTTGGTGACATTTCCTTGATAATTCGGAAATAACTACACAGGAATACTTTAAATGATGAGTACAATACCAGGTTAATTTAAATTTAAAAAAAAACGGTGACGTATAAAACTAGGGTGACGTATAAAATCTTACCAAAACTGCAAAAATGAAGATACTTGAATTTCGCAAATTGCTTTTGGTTTCTGCATATTTACACTATGTGTGTACCAAATTTCAAGTGTCAGCAAAGCATCGAACAAATTTGGCAAAGCTTCGAGTTTCAGATGCCGTTGAATGTATAACACCTTATAGAACAAAAAGTTTTACTCTCCTGATTTTCGGCTTTAGCGTCATTATTGTATATATATTGAACTATAATTTCCGAAAGTGTTATCACTTTTTGTTTATAATTTACATTTTTACAGCAACTTTAATTGACGTTTTATACCGTTTTTTCGTTTTTTTCAATCTCACGGCTTTGTTATTGCAAATTTCATAATCGGACCACCGCTATGCTATTGTTGCTATTTTTATTACGAATAAAATCATGTCCTAAGCATTTTTTCGTACAAACTAATCCCGCTGAGTTATTTAAAGAAAACTACTAAAAAATTTTTTTTCACAATTAATTGTTAATAACTTTTTTTCCTGATAAAATACTTTGTCAGCAAATTAGCCTGTTATTGTACTCATCATTTAAAGTAGGTCTGTGTAGTTATTTCCGGGTTATCAAGGTTTGACACAGGCCGAACCTCTACCAACTGGACTAAAATAGAAATCATACATAATAAATGAAATTTTTTATAACTTTTTTTCTTTATAATTCGTTTTAAACAATTTTGGTGTTGGAAAAACTATACAATATATTACTACTATACTAAAAGAATTGTATTTCCTGTCAAGATGAGACATTTTCATTTTTTAGATCAAGAATTAGTGATGACAAAAAATTAATTATGTTTGTAAATTTTTTGCTGCAAAAATTGAAAAACAAATATTTATACAAATAACTTTTGCAATTGTTTTATATTACTTATTCGATTTACGTGTACTTTTATTTTTATAGAAATTATGTGTTCGTGATATACCAGCTTCGTTTTTTTTACTATATTATTTAAATTTACGTTTTTCGGTACCGGACAGTACATTCTTAAAACATTTTAATAGCACAAGAGTAAATGATAAAAAGGACTTCATTCTGTACAATTCTAGACACACAAGTAATAACTACAAATACGAAATATATAATATTTGAGAATGTTCTCAGAAAATCTTTTATACAGTGATGAATTAATACTAGAGAATGCTTTTAAAACAGAGCCTCCCTTGTGGATACCTCAACTGTCTTCTAAATACATCTATTATTTTATAATGAAACATTTTTCCCGTTCTGAGTAACTTCCTTTGGTCCCTTTTTCTTTGACAAATACGTTCTTCTGTAGAAATCTCCAAAGAGGATCAGCATGAAACAATTTTGAGGCACGAAGAAATAGCTGCATAATTTGGGATACGTGCAGTCAGCCTTGAAGAGTAGTCTTCCATATATAATAATGAAGAGAAAAAATTGAGTCTAAAACATAAGCAAAAATGTTTAGTTCAGCTTAGACATAATATTGATAAATATTTTACACAAAATTGATAATTTAATACATTAATCAATGATTAATAGTACTAAATTAATTGTTATCTACGAATGAGTCTAATAAATTTGTTTTGGTGTTTAGTATGCAGTGTCTCGGAAATACTCCGCAAAAATGAAGTCATGGAATTTTTGATCAATTTTGAGGAAAACATTCCTACGAGTATATCTTCTACTTTTCGAGATGCGAGATGAGGAATTTTTGAAAAACATCACAGAAACACAAATATCTCTAAAGATGTTCAACGTAAAATAATCAAACTTGAACCGGCGACTTTATTTGAATAAATATCTGTTGCATTTTATTCGTACAACGACAAATGTTTGTGTTTTCTTTCGGCTAAAATGAAACGTTCTTTTTCTTCTCAAGTTAAGTATACCACGTAGCTTAGTTTTGTATAATATACTTTCACACATCCCCATAGAAAGAAATCTAATGTTGTAAGATCAGGAGAACGTACTGGCCACTGTAGCTATCCTAGCTTAACTATCCACCGATTTGAAAATGTTAAGTCGAAGTATTGACGGATATTGATTCGGTAATGTGGTGATGCTCCATCCTACTGTAACCATATCACATCGGCTGGAATTTGTGGCTTTGTTTGAGTAGTATATATATCTTCGCCAAAGTTGGCACATCATTTTGGAGCGGAAGTAAATAATTACCGTCATTCATATTGCCATCAATGGAAGAGGGACCAATGACATGGTTTCCAATTATCCCCGCTCAACCATTAACCTTTATAAGATTTTGCGTCTTTCATCCAGTAATAATTTTCATTAGCTCAGTAGCGACAGTTTTCACAATTAACATGGCCGTAAAGGTATTTTCTACCTTTGCATCATTTGTTCACAAAAATACGACCTTCTATAAAAATCGTCCTCATTAAGTTCTGAGTTATATGCGAATAATCGAGGAATGCGAAACATTCAATGCTGAAGCTGCTTGTTAATTTAAACTATGTGTACATCTATTTTGGTACCATTACTTATTACATTGGAAACTTCTTTTTTTTATCTGCCATACCATTCCATGTCCATTTTTGCGAAACTGCTTTTCAAATGTGCTAATTGTACCTAGGCGGCAAATCAGGGAATTTTTCTTGAAATAGACGAGCAACTTCGTCCTGTGATGACATTCTATCTCCGTATGCATTTCTGTTAAATAAACCATGTTTAGAAATTGCAGTTAGCAAAACAAATATTTATTGGTGTGAATTAAATACCAAGTAGCTATAGCGTTTTTAATAATGAGCTATGAAAAACTTTGCATGATTTTATAGTTGCAAAACGTTGTAAGTTTTCATGTTTTTGTTTGTTGTAACGAATTTTGTCAAGCAGACCGATTATTTTTTAAATAAAAATGAAAACAATAGCATTTCTGAAAAGTGAATGAAACGACCTTTCAAATGAGGTATCACAAGCCTCTATTTCCCATTTAAAAATTTAGGTGTTGCAACTGCTACTTGAAGGGGTTGAATTTGGGGTTGAAATTTTTACTTTGCAGGGATGTTATTTCAGACTCTAAAATTGACATTTGTATTTGTATCGACACCCTGTATATCTCAAAAACTAAACTACGAGTATTTATTTAGAATATAAGTTCAAGGAAATTTTCTTCTTCAAAATTGAACAAGGGTTTCACCATCCCATCTTTGCCAACCATTACTGGGACACCCTATATGTTATTCATATTTTAGTGGTAGTCTTAAAATTAGAAATAGGTATATTTATGACTAGGTTAGAAATGTCAAAAAGGTGTTAAACCATTGACCGCACTCGCAAATGTATTCATATTAAATTAAAATTGAATTTAATTTTGCTGACGTCAAAAAATTCCAGTTATTTATGACTTGCTACAAAGTTAAATTATTTATACGGAAATGGCAATGTTTATACATAATTCATAAACGTCTATTCCATATTTACGAATAAATTCCACATATTTGCAGTTTTGTTTACGTCAAAATACTTGAATAGTGACACCTAAAGAGAAACAAAAGTACCTACATTCGTTAATTTTTTTCTATTGATGGAAACGTTTTATCGGAAACTCATTATACTTTTCCCGAATGATAATAATGTAACACAACTACTTACAATATGCGTAAAGTAAAAATGAAAAAATATTCTTACGATTTGTATTTGAGTTAAGGTCCTTTTAAATGTTACGCTCTGTTTCCATTTTTCATCAATAGCAGTCAATAGATAGTACGTGTACATAATGGCATGTACTGCTCCATTTATCAATCCTACGAAGACACCAGATCCTCCTCCGAAAAACTTGACTGCCACCCACAGCATGATAAACATTCCAAAATGATGATAAACATGTAAAAAAGATATTTGTCTGTTTTTCTTGCGCAAGACGAAAAATATCTGAAACAATTTCATGTTTGATATAAGAACATTTTTATTTTCTTTAATTTGCGGACTTTCATTGAAATTGTCAAAAGTTGGACAATTTCCGGGTTGATGCTACATTTTCAAATATCTACATAGATTCATTTGGGAAGGAAATTCTGGAACCAGAAAAGCTTTAGAAAAATTGTTGGTTCAGATATGCTGACGATAAATTTATCCTTTAGTTCCAACGGATATAACAACAAAGAGATGCTTGATAAGAATATCATGTATATGTAATATATGATACTCTTATCAAGCGTTGGAATAAGCAACTTTAAAGCTAAAATATTGGTTCATATATGTGGACGATAAATGTATTATTTGGCTTTGGCTTTTATTATAACAACATAGAGGGGGCAATAGAAATCTAGAAGAATCGATATAATTTCAATCGAGGCGAGGGGTTAGAACTATCCGGTATTTGGAAGCCGTACAATGGAACTCCATGGACCAGGGCACACACAAAGTACTAGAGTTTTAGAATATTTTCTGAAGAATCGAACGATGTCTCTCTAGGAACCGTAAGAAATTTTTCAACCATTAAAGGAACAACGTTTATAAAAATGACTTTGTTGATACACATACGAAGTATCTGAACATTTAGTCTCATCACCATTCAGCCCAAAAATAAGATAATCTTCATGAGTGTTTCGAATACTCATCTAATTATACAATTAAGGAAAATATTGAACCATCAGGATACCTAAGGACTGATCTATATATAGGTCAGATAGATCGCTTGTAAAGAACACACTATATTAGTACCGCCAAGAGAGGTTCAAGGAAGATCTTCAAGAACGATAAACTCCAAGACTTCGGTGCCTACAGCAACCAATGTATATGCGGCAAAGGTTAAGGGAACATGTACCTATCACTTAAAAAATAACATCGTAGAGAAATTAGCAGTTGCAGAGTACATAGTAATTCTATTGAGAAAGAGAAATTTTGTTCAAGATTCTACAGAGAAGCAATAAATATTCAGGAAAATAGAGAGATCAACCAAGATGTGTTCTTATAGTTAATTTGAAATTTGGAAAATTTTTATCCGTACTAAGCCAGGACCGGGACGCTTTGGACTAGGGCATTCTGCAAATATACAGGTTGACTACGAAATGGTGAACAATCTCGGATTTGGATATGTTCTGTAAAAATAACGTCATAAATTTATGTAAATGTTTTTTTCTGGTTCACCGTGTAGTTCGTGAAGTTAAAAATTGAAAATTTACTATATGTCTTTTTTTTTTATTAAATTTGAATAATGTGTAGGTAAAAGCTATGATATTTGAACCTATTTCTAATAATGTAATTAATATGTTTTTAAATTTTGATGGGGAATTTTAGGAGTTTCATAATGTTATCGATAAAATTAATCGTATTTATGTCACATCTTGATAGAAATAAATATTTGAAAATAATATTTAATTGTTTATGAAGCAAAACATATGCTAATATGAAATGTCAATTGACGTTATGCATTTATTTTGCAACAAATTGTTTCTTTTGTTTATTTACTACTGAGACATGACATAAATAAAAAGGAATCTTCATCACTTAACACGATTATTTCGAAAACGGTTCATTTCATCTATAGCATATCCTTTTCACTTAAAAGATGTAATAAAATTTTAGAATGACGACGAAAATTAACAATGTAGATTCATCCATTTTTTTGGAATCAGGCATTCACAGCTATCTATAAATTAAACAGGACAATAGAAATAACTTCAAATAACAGCTTTCTATAAAACATATCCAATTTTAATGAGAAACTACAAAGTTATAACGAAAAAGCGATTTTCAACACTCTTTAAAAACTTCATAACGCCACAACATGAGCCTAAAGAAAAAAATTCGATATATCATTTTTGCACGACAACTCAAATTCCAGAGAATTCCCACAATTTTCCTGTAAATACTGGCCAATTTCAGTAGTACTTCTGACGAATAGAGTGATATATCCCTCGAAACGTAAGGAAGTCTAACAAGATGACGTGGCAACCAGCATGGAAATTTTTGACATTTTTATATTAAGTTGTTAGGTAGTCATTTTTAATGTTTCGTGATTGAATTTACGGATTTATATATGCTTTTATATATGATTATATTCGCTTAAACGATATTTCTGTATCTAAATATATGTAAGATTTTAACAAAATATTATTTAGTAATTTGCAAACATTAACAGTTGTATAAATAATATTTTTATATTTAGTTTATTTTATGTTTTCATTTAACATACATTTCCAACATAGTAATTAATTAAGAACAATTAAAAATTAAAAACAAAAAATGGTGGATGCGTCGCTCGATGTCCACTGTGACATAAAATTACAAATATTTCCTAAACTGTTAATTTTACCGAGTTGAACCAAGAAGGTATTACATTTGGTAAAATCTTCGAGAAACTTATTTTTGATACAGCAAATTGCGATCGTCATCTATATGCAAACGTTCTGGGTTGTTAACCATTGGGCAAGGTCCGTCCCTGGCGTTCTGGGCATAATGAAGTTTCACTTACAACATCAAAAACAAGCTGTCCATGTGTTATCGATCACCGAATTTGCATAATGCTGGATGTTAATAGTTTAGAGACTGTAAATATAAATAACTTTTTTATTTTCACTTTTGAGGGCCTTGTTAACTAAAGCCCGTATGAAAAAAATTATAAAAAGAACTTATATTATTTTGACCTTATATATTTGTACTCGACTTTTTTGTATCAAGTATCGGGACACCCTCTATATGAGAAATAGGTTTTCCAAAATTCAAACTGACACAGTCAAATGTGATAGTTTTTTTTTGGTTATCTACCTTCCATAAAGATACATCAGAATACATATAATAATAATAATTATTATTATACGTTATTATTGTTTAGTTTTGAAGAACTATCTACTTTCTTGTTGCAAGATATTTCTTGAGGTAAACATAAATTTACAAAATAAACACTTTAACTGATCCGCACAGGGTTATTTATTTAAATTTTTTTCTTTTCAGTATAGAAGAAATATGAAATTAAATAATTAATTATGATAAGTTCTACACTCGATAATATTTTCTGTCCAAAATTTGACATTCTGAACACGAATCTTAAACAGTTTTATGGTTGTTCAATACCATTGTTCAAAATATCACAAAATTTATCTATTAATTTAGATTTATGTTTATAATTAAAAGAAAAAAAGGATTTAGGTATTTCTTGTCGTGATAGGAGTAAACCCGAATTTATATAATCATAACCTAATCTAACTTTAATCCAATCTGATATGTTATATCTTTACCTAACGTAATATTTGATAATTAGTAAAATAATAAAAACATTTACAATTTTTATTTCTTTTTATGACCAGTATTTACATTTGAGCATTTGCCCTCCTGCTGTCAGAAATTTTCTGTGGGCGCCCGTGATTGACAATAAAAATTGGATCTCGTTTAGGTTTAATAAATTGAAAAGACCAATCAAGAATTAATAGTGCTTTAAAATATAAAAATTAATGATAGCATGTTTTGAGGTAAGTTGAAATTTTACTTCCTTAATATTTTTGATAAATGAAATTAGATTTTGACAGTAGATTATCTTTCTAAGAAAATGTTGTCATGGCTCAAAATTTCCATATATTTCAAAAGGTCATTCAATTAATTTTTGAGCAGAAGTACAGGTTGTAGTATGATTTGTGAATATGGTGTAATAAAAGTATATAGTCCATATATTTAGAAAATAACTCACCGTATCCAATAAGTCTGCTGCTTTAATAAGGAAGAAGATGTGATACAATTTAAGCACATACAGTGATCTGGGGGCAAAGGAATAATCTACCGGTGCACAATCCCAACTAATATTGAAAAATACCTCTTGTCCTGCCTAAAAATGACATAACTAATCACTAACTAACTCACTATAAACGTGATTTGTTGAAAAATCTATGTGGATATGTTTCCAGCTACAAGTTTTTTACGTTTTTCATTTAAATGACAAAATTATATGTTCGCATAAAAGGATAATAATATGTTAAACTAATATAGAGTCGCGCATAGATATCATTTTTGCTGAAAAACAATAAAAGAGGTTAATTAGTAAATTAATTTGGCGATGCTATGCTTTCCTGAATTGCAACCCTCCAATTTTTTTTACGGAGGCGTACGTCCAATGCTTCCAAATTAGAAATATCCTAATATGTTGAAAGTTATAACGAATATTATATATAAAGTTAAGGAAATTAAGAATACTTATGAACGTATTTTAATCCAGATAATTGTTAGTCACTACTTGAGCACAGTATAGAAAACAGTAAATTCACTGCCTATCTAAACTATTTATAAAAAATGGATCCTAGTTTAATTTTTTATGTCGCTTTAAGTAACTCCGCAGAGACCACGCGCAACCTCAGGGGAACCTCAAAAGCTGAAAGCTAAGCTGGGTTTGTTGGTGGACTGGGCTTGCTATTGCGCATAGACCACGCGTCCCTTTACTGGATTTTTAGAGCAGTGGAGTTGTGGTCCACAAAAGATGGGGAGTTAATTTACTATTTTCTATACGGTGACTTGAGTAACAAGAAAATTGGAGATGGAATAACGCATTTCCTTTTTCTGTACTGAGCCTTATTTAACTAGTCTAGATCATAGATTTTCTTGTGTTGCTATACAGGGTATTCCAATTAAACTTCCCACCCGCAAAATATCGGAATTAAAAAAAAAAACAAAAAACCTGCGACACGTCGAAGTTCTTTTTAAGGGGGACACATTATGGCGTAAGTGTTGGTATCCTGGAAGCTACCCCTTAGGCAGAAGCGTAAAATACCCTTAAACTTTAAACGGCACCCTATGTTGAGTGACACCTCATTTTAAAGCTTCTTCAATTCTGCTCACGACGACTTACGACTTTTTAAATTTTGGTTTGAATATGACAATACTTACAACTTAGAGTAGGTATAAGACAACATATCAGTGAACGAAAGAATGTTATTTTAATAAATTTTTCAAATTGATTTCCCTCCCTTCCATACAATAATAAAATCTTTGTTCCACTTCCAAACGAATATTTCGAAACATTTCGGATGTTATCTGATGACATTCTTCAACAATTTCTTGATAAAGGCAACATCCGAGGAAATTGAATGTTTGGGCGGGCATACTGGGAGACCACTCCATAGGGCCTTCCTACCAGGAAATCTGGATGGAAACATGTATCTGAATCTACTGGAAACGAATATCTACCTGATGTGCGCGATTTTCTTAATCAGAACTTTCCAAATCACTGAATAGAACGCAGATATTCAATTGAGTGGTCTCTCAGATCATCAGATCTAACGCCCTTAGACTTTTTTCTATGGGGACACTTATAATCGAAAATTTATGCAACACGACCGAACTCACGCGAGGAGCTTCGTCGGCGAATTGTTGAAGAATGTTTTTCTTTAAGTGATGATTTTATTGGTTATACTCAAACCGAAATTTAAAAAGTCTTATTTTTAAAATGAGGTGTCACTCAACATAGGATGCCATTTAAAGTTTAAGGGTATTGTACGCTCCTGCGTAAGGGGTAACTTACTCCATCATGTGTCCCCTTGAAAAGAAAATCGACCTATCCCAGGTTTTTTTAAATTCCGATATTTTCCAGTTGGGAAGTTTTAATTGAAATACCCTGTATACTAGATAAGAATGTAAATTACCATATGCTTTACACTTTGGCCAGAATGTACTAATTTATAAAAAATTCTTACCTCGTACACGATATATGAATTTAATAAAACCTGAATTGCATTGTACATTATCATCACATATTTAAGTTCAAATGGTTTCCTATTTGCCATTAATCTTGGTCCTAAGTTATATGTAAAGTATAAGTAAATAGTTATGATTATTGTTGGTTTAAGGGGTGAAGACATCCATAATAAATTAAGATGTGTAACTCTGGGATCTACAATTAAAAATAGACATGTTAATTTTTACATTGTAAATTACATTTTCCACATTTTTCTTCTTAAAATTTGAGTTAATATCAGATTGTTGACTTTAACCTAAAATGTACCATTTACAATTACCAATTACCATTTATATTTATTGAGTATCGCTGCAAAAATAGTAATCTCTGAATTTTGAGAATTTGCAAGATATGTTTAGAAAGTCCTTTAAATGAGTTTAATTAACAAGACTGGATAAGACATCAAACGACTTTATTATAGATAAATGTAAATATGGTAAAACAAGGTAAAGTATGATGGATATAATAATATGAAAAGGATATAAATATTTATTTACATTAGAATCTTCCATAGTGCATAACAACTTACAATTAGTGTTAGTAGTTGTAATTATCTACAGAGATAAAATGTTAGTATCGGGAACTATTTTTATGCAATGGCTGGTTTGTTAAATGTAATAGAATTGACGGAGAGTTGTTAGCAATTTGGATCATATCAAAATTAAGTGGTATAAAATTTAGCAGAATATTTTACAGCATTGCTTCGAAACAGTTCTATTTAGTGGTTATAGGTCAAACCGTGGATTCTGTTAATTAGAAATCATAATTTTTACCTTTATTTAATTGTACAGTATAATGTAAATTATTATTTTAAGAATTGTAATAAATTTTAGAATATTGTTTTTGTAAGTTGAAGTTAAAGCTTTGAAGTTTGAATTGTGGAATAATACAGAATTTCTATCAGTCGCAGCCTATAAAAAAGAATAAAATTAACATATAATATATCTACAGGGTGGTCCGACTTTATGCAGGAAACTTCGAGGGCAGGTAGATCTCTTTAAAATAATATGTGTTTGCCTTATAAACATTGGTCTGGAACAGCCCCGTTTTAGATATACAGGGTGTGAAGTTGTTAAAAGAAATTGATTTTTTGTTTATATCTCAGGAACCGATCTCAATAAAATTTAGTATAGATAATGTGTGATAGTAGGCCTTACATTCCCTAAAATATGAGCTCTAAAGATACAACCAGTGGTGTACAACTGGGCAGGGGCCTTCTCTTTTTTTATAAAAAAACCTACGCCACTGCATTTTTTACAAGTTATTGTAATGGATTTATATTCTAATGCACAAAATACGTAAACTTTAATTTTTTCCCTAAGATTCTCCGTTTTCAAGTTATTCATACCAATACAATCGCCTTGTGCAGACATTTCTAACCATAATATTACAAGAATATTTGCGTTTATGCTTAAAAGTAAGTAGAATTTGTAAGCACATCAACAAAATTCTTTACACTCGTTTCCACACTACCTGTGAGGTAGAGTTCCTTACGCGTTTTAGTTTCCCCTGGAAGCCTAACCCACTATCTCTGCAAATAAGAGCAACTTAAATCAAAATAATAATAAATGCACATTTACCGAAGGCGAGGATAGTGAATTTTCACACAATCATATAGCATATTTGGTCACAAGAAAATCTTCATGAAATTCGGACCAGATCTTTTCAACACGAATTTTCTGTGAACGTTTGGCTCGGAATAATTCGCAATAAAATTTGTGGACCTTTCTTCTTGCCACCCCGTCTAATTTCCCAATCATTTCTAAACTTTCTAGAAAACCATTTATTTGAATTATTAGAGGATGTTCCATTAAACGCAAAATAGCTGGATACAATGGATGGTGCTTCTGCGCATTTTAGGAGAATAATATAAGAATGGCTTAGTGAAAATTATATGGGGCGATGGATAGGTAGAAAACCAAATGCCAATGTCAACCACAATGGTACAGAAAGTCCAGTGTCTTGGTCAGCCAGATTGTCATATCTAAACCCCCTGGACTTCTATGTTTGGGGTTATCTGAAAAGTAAAGTTTATTCTACTCCAACAGATACAAGACCACAACTACTGCAACGAATGGAAGACGGGTGTAATGAATTAAAAGAAAACCACCACCTGATATTAGCTTCAATTAAATCCATTAATAGAAGACGTCAGATATGTATCGATGTGGGTGGTTCGCATTTTGAACAATTGTTGTAAATACGTAGCGTTAATTATGTTTCTTGTTCAGTTGCTGTTGCTTGGTAAACATTTTTATTATTTTAATTTAAATTGTTCTTATTTGTAAAGAGTATTAGGTCTCCAGGGAAAACTAAAACACGCCAGGGACACTACCTCACAGGTGGTGTAGAAAGGTGTAAATAATTTTGTTGATGTGCTTATAAATTGCACTTACTTTTAAGCATAAATATAAATAATCTTGTAATATTATGGTTAGAAGACAACGAGGATTGTATTGGTATGAATAACTTGAGAACGGCGAATCTTAGGGAAAAAATTAAAGTTACCTTTTTTACGTATTTTGTGCATTAAAATGTAAATCAGTTACAATGACTTGTAAAAATTGCAGTGGCGTAGTTTTTTTTTTGTAAAAATAGGGGTGACCCCTGTCCAGTTGTACACCACTCGTTGAACCTTTAAAGCTCATATTTTAGGGAATGTAAGGCCTACTATCATACATTATCTATACCAAATTTTATTGAGATCGGTTAATAGATTCCGGAGATATAAACAAAAAAACATTTTTTTTTAACAACTTCAACACTCTAAAACAGGACTGTTCCAGACCAATGTTTATAAGGCAAACACATATTATTTTAAAGAGATCTATCTGCCCTCGAGGTTTCCTGCATAAAATTCGGACCACCCTGTATAATAATTACATTCAAGGTCTTCAAGTGCAAATGTTCTTAAAATATTTGTCCTCAAATTAAAAGCTTAACCTTTGTGAACTGTAAAGTATTAATTTTATAGTTTAATTGTAATTCCATTATTACGTTTTAGCATTTAATGTTTCTAAAATTCATTATCAATTTCTGACTTACCTGCCAATTCTTCAAACATCCAATTGTAACCTTTATACAACGTCTTCAAAACCAAAGCCATGTCTACTTAATAAAAATACTTGTAACCAACACCTTTACCTCCATTCAATGATCACGATTAGCAGTGATATCAGTTCAGTGTATATTTTGTTAACAATGAGGAATTTAATTAAACATCGAATATTTATGGATATGAAGGTATTCATTTACATTTTGTTTAGTAACCTCTAGAAGGAAATATAGTATGTACTAAAAAATAAACTGTATTGCAAATATTCAAGAACCTTAACAGTAAATTACAACCATTATCTTTCAGCTGCAATTTTTGTTTATCAGTTAATGGTCACTTTATCAGCTTGTTAATAAAGTAACTACCGTGGTATAATATTAGCTATAGTCCATAGACTACCAGTATTATCGTAGCAGGTCCGTGCAATCAAAAAAGGTTGATTGACTGTAAATGTGTGGGCAGCTAATGTGAGACACTTGTCTAAAGTTATTAATGGTATAGTTTTAGTTTTTCGTTTAAGTTGAAATTGAAAACAAAAAGTTTTTAATTTTGCGAAACAATTTTTGCCTAACCAAAAATTTTTAATTATAAAGTGAGACAAATAAAAGATAAACATCACTACAACTAAATGAAATGCCTGATGTGTTTTTTTATTTGTTTGGATATACGAGATTGGTTAGATAAAAATAATTTTACAAAAATCTTCAGCTGAACCTTTTGGCGTAAGCGTTTGTTTAATTACTTATTTTTAATTTTTTTTTCCCAGGAAAGAAGCTATATAGGGTTCTGTCATAGGTAAATGTGTTTTCGATACCATATAAGAATAGTGGAGATTTTTTAGCAATTCTGGAGGATTAGAATTATGATTTACTTTAAACGTTACACAGGGTGGTCCGAATTTTATGCAGAAAACTTCGATGGTAGATAAATCTCTTTAAAATAGTAGGTGTTTGCCTTATAAACATAGGTCCGGAATGGCCTCGTTTTAGAGATACAGGGTGTTGAAGTTGTTAAAAAAAATTGATTATTTGTTTATATCTCCGGAATCCATCAACCGATTTCAATATAATTTAGTACAGATAATGTGTGATAGTAGGCCTTGTATTCCCTAAAATATGAGCTCTAAAGGTCCAACCAGTGGTGTTCAACTGGACAGGGTCACCGCTTTTTTATAAAAAAACCTACGCCACTGTATTTTTTACAAGCTGTTGTACCGAATTTATATTCTAATGCATAAAATACGTAAAAAAGGTAACTTGAATTTTTTCCCTAAAGTTCACCGTTCTCAAGTTATTCATACCAATACAATCCCCTTGCGGCAGACACTTCTAACCATAATATTACAAAAATATTTATGTTTATGCTTAAAAGTAAGTGCAATTTGTAAGCTCATCAACAAAATTCTTTACACTCATCGCTTTCATCTTTTTGGATTAAAACAATATTTGGAAAATCACGACAAAGGGATGAAAGGCACAGAAATGAAATTTTAAAAGCATTTGACGACGATCCTCGGCTAAGTACACGAAGAACGTCTCGGCAACTTGGGGTGAGTAAATTGAAAATTTGAAAAGTTCTACGTAAGGATGGCAGAAATCCGTACCATTTACAACCTGTGCAAAATTTACTTCCAGGAGATGCAAAGAGACGCCTGAATTTGTATCAGTAGTTGTTTGAATTGAATTGAATTGAATTGTTGTTTGAATGTTTGAAATGAGTCATTTCTAAACTTTCTAGAAAACCATCTATTTGAATTATTAGAGGATGTTCCATTAAATCTACGACAAAATAGCTGGATACAGATGGATGGTGCTCCTGCGTATTTTGGGAGAATAATATAAGAATGGCTTAATGAAAATTATATCAGATGATGGATAGGTAGAAGACCAAATGCCAATGTCAACCATAATGGTGCCGAGGGTCCAGTGTCTTGGCCAGCCAGATCGCCAGATCTAAACTCCCTGGACTTCTATGTTTGGGGTGACCTACTTGAAAAGTTTACTCTACTCCAAAAGATACTAGACCACAACTAATGCAGCGAATAGAAGACAGGTATAATGAATTAAAAGAAAACCACCACCTGATATGAGCTTCAATTAGTTCCATTAATAGAAAATGTCAGAAATGTATCGATGTGGGTGGTTCGAATTTTAAACAATTGATGTAAAAACTTAACGTTAATTTTGTTTCTTGTTTAGTTGTTGTTGCTTGGTAAAATACATGTATTTTTATTATTATTTTGATTTAAATTGTTCTTACTTTTAAAGATAATGCCTCCAGGGAAAACTAAAACACACCAGGAACACTACCTCACAAGTGATGTGGAAAGAATTTTGTTGATGTGGTTACAAATTGCACTTACTTTTAAGCATAAACATAAATATTTTTGTAATATTATGATTGAAGTGTCTGCCACAAGAGGATTGTATTTGTATGAATAACTTGAAAATGGTGAACCTTAGGGAAAAAATTCAGGTCACATTTTTTACTTATGTAGTGCACTAGAATATAAATCCGTTACAATAACTTGTAAAAAATACAGTGGCGTAGGTTTTTTTTATAAAAAGGGGGTGACCCCTGTCCAGTTGTACACCACTGGTTGTACCTTTAGAGTTCATATTTTAGGGAATGCAAGGCCTACTATCGTACATTATTTGTACCAAATTTTATTGAGATCGGTTAATACATTTCTGAGATATAAACAAAAAATATATTTTTTTTAACAACTTCAACACCCTGTATCTCTAAAACGAGGCCGTTCCAGACCTATGTTTATAAGGCAAACTCCTATTATTTTAAAGAGATCTATCTGTCCTCGAAGTTTCCTGCATAAAATTCGGACCACCCTGTATATCTATACTATATATTTTGAGATTTCAATTCAAAATCCAATATGATGATAAAAAAATAATGTTGTTATTTATCTTAATAAAGTATTGTTTTGTATCTCCTCAAATAAATGTGTAAGAGAAGCAGTTAATTACCGCCAAAAAAGTAAACCGAGGTGTGTGTGGTGCTTTATCATTATTCATAAAGTTCTAATTGCCCTCGTGTCTAATACATACTTAATTTTGTTCATTATGATTTTTTTGCGTTTCCTATTATTTTCACTGCCATTGTTTATAAATGGTAACATCAACTTAATAGTTTCTAATACTAAATTTCAAATCAATACACAATTTGTAATTATGTGAATTTGATTATGTTTTAGTTATAGACCAGAAACATTTTTAAGCTCAGTTCAGTTATTTTCAATTTTCAGTTTATTAATAATCATCGCCTTGTATTTCGTACGAGACAAAAAAATTATGTTACGTATCCTATACAGAAAGGGCAGTCTACTGTAAGAAAAATATTCCGAAATTTTCAAGACCTACTGGATTTTACGGATTACGATCATAGCACATTTTGTTTCGCAAAAAAATAGTACCTACTTCAACCCAATCTTTCTGTTGTTTCTTAGTCATTTAATTTTCTCTTTGGCTTCGCTTTGGTTAAATATCAGTAAATGGGTCCTGTCCCTATAAAGTATGATTTTATTGATGTGTATTCCAACTTAACGTTTAAGTTAGAATCAGAGGTCCAAAACTTTCAGAAAAATTGGGCACTGGAAAAAAATTAAAAAAGGCCATTTTTGTGTATTAAAAGATACTGATAAAGACCAAGAGCATGTTACCCGGAATTTGGAAGAATGAGATGCATATGTGGATACTAAGAAAACCTGGATTCAGATATGGACTGAAGATTTTTCTTTCAGTGATTTTGCGTAATAGTTATCCCTGAGCCCATTTTTTCTTGCGTTTTTATATTGAAAAAAACTATTGCTTCTTATCATTGTTTACTTATGAAAAAATAATATTTTGTTCTATTTCGCTATATTATATCTAAGTACAAAATGTTATATTTATCTTGTATTAATATGTGCTTGATTATTTTGAGATACCAGAGCATCCAGTCCCAAATTTATACATGTAGGTATTTTTTATTTAATACACTATTCTACAGGTGAAATCCAATTGCAGAATAGGAATAATAACTACAAATAAAACAACACATAACTAAAATTAAATTGTATTAAAAAAGTACATTGTATTAAAAATACAATTTACAAAAATATAGCAAGACAATATTAAATGTAAGATCTATTTAAAACATAAAAACGTGTGTATATGTGAAATAAATAGATCATAATAAAAAAATATACCAGATTAATTTTTTTAATGATGCAGTGCTACAGCTAAAACTATGAAATATATTACACATGTTCTGAAAGGGTTAGTTAATTAGTGAAACATTATAATATTAGTTCTAAAGATAAAATAAAGTCGATTGACGTGATACAAATCTGTGTGTAAAAAAACATCAAATATGACTTTTTGCGACGATCTTCTGAATAATTTACTAAAAAGCGAGACAAAAGCTGAATGGTTGACCTGAAGTAAACCAACAGTAGAATAAACATCATCTGCTTTATAAGCAACGAATTTAAGAAAACGATGTTGAATCTATTCCCATACAAGGATATCAATAGCTTTGTAATAATGAAAACATATTCTAAAGTTAATTTTATGAAAGCAAAATATAACAATTTAAAAGTCATCATTGACTTTTTTTTAAATTTATTATGATAAACTTATTCCAGCATAATATACCTGAAAACATATTCTAAACGTATATTTACAAATGTTTCTACAGGGTGGCTCAATTAAAACAGTCCACCTGAAATATTTTCAATGCAACAGGTTTTTCTGGAAAACTCCGGAACAGGTCGATTTTGCTTTCAAGGGGGACATCTTTTGATCATAAATTCATGAAAGCAGGGTCATCCCCCTAAACGGGGTGGCAACCCCTTCAAGAATTTAAGATTTTTGAAGGGGTTGCCACCCCGCTGAGGGAGATGACCCTACATTTATGAATTTATGGTCTAAAGATGTCCCCCTTGAAAGCAAAATCGACCTGTTTCGAGGTTTTCCGGAAAACCCTGTTGCAATGAAAATATTTTAAGTGGACTGTTTTAATTGGACCTCCCCGTATGTTCTAGCTTCTTCATTTTATAATTTCTTCAATTTTTTGCTTCCAAAGGAAAAAAAAATTTTTCTATTTTTCCAATTTTTCCGTAAATACACTATTCTAATAAGAATTTAATCATGAATTTGTCATCATCATAAATTTGAAAAAGGGTTAATTTTAGACAAAATGAAATTTTCTTCAATGAAAGTTACACAAAATTTTTAGTTAAA